TTAAAAAGCATGTCGTGTTATTGGATGCTTGACTGATGCATGTCTTAAGGGACCAATAAATAGCTTGCTTGAATCTCATGGGCAGCCTTTACATCTTTATTTCACCAGGTTATTGTTCCGTAGCTTAGCTCCATGGCCCGGGATCTTTTGAAAATATTGAAAATTTTAACGATCTGCCAGATCATGGTTAGACAAACAGTACCACTGATACCATAAGGCTTCCACAGAAGCCGCACCACTGACACCATAAGGCCTCCATTCAGCACCACTGACACCATAAGCCTTCCACTGACACAACACCACTGACACCATAAGGCCTTCATTTAACACCACTGACACCATAAGGCCTCCAGTGAAACAGCACCACTGACACACATGCACACTAATAAAACCCCAGACAGGTCCTGTGATCACGCCAGTACCTTTGGTGTATTTTTTATTTTTTTCTGTTTATTTTCTCCGGTTCTGCACCTCGTAGTTCTATGAGCTTCTGCGTCACAGCACCAGACTTTGGGCCACAGGGGATGCGCACACCGCAGGTTCCCTGCTGTTCCTGACACGGTCGCGTGGGAGGGGCGTGAACACACGTGCTGGAGAGACCGCCACCGCGCGGATTGCTGAGCCCTTCCAGCGTCTCCTCGGGGAGCGTCTGATGCCTTGGGCAGAGTTCCGGACGTCTCTCAATGTCAAATTAACGAGATGTTCTGAGGCGCCGATTTACGCACGATTTCTTCGACACATTCTAATCGCCTTACTGCCAGTTATCACGTTCACCCAAAGTAACCTGCAGTAAAATCACTAGCATCAGCCAGGCTCTTTTTGGAAAAGCAGCTTTGGTGCCATTTTTCTGCAAATCTCTATGTTTCATCTTCCCTTCCTAGGCAGTAATAAATGACTTACTTTGTTTGGGACCTTAATAATCTGGTTTTATTGTCATGGCCCCGGCGACTAAATTAATCAGCTCCCAACTTCCTTTCACTTAAACAGTGTCATCACGTCCGCTGCCTAACATTAAGTCTGGCTAAAGTGGATTTTGTCATGCTAGTTGGAATTTCCTGTAAAGGCTTAATAATATCTCTTGAAGGCGTCTGTGTGCATTAGGTCACCTTAGGCTAAGATGGGCTCCCAGCTGAACTTTCTGGGAAGCTGAGAAGTGAGTCTCCACAGTGAGTCTCCACTGTAACCCCCTCAAGGTGTGGAGTCTTTGCACGTCCTTGAAGGATTGTTAAGTGTGTTCACATGTCGGTTGTTGTCTATGCTGAGGAATTGACTCTCTGAAGAAGAATCTGAAAATGCTCGCCCGACGGAAGCCCACTGAGGGCAATCTCCTCTGCAGAGATTGCATTTCGTTTTGCTGCTAATGCCGAGGCTGCTTTATACCTGCTCCAGTTCTCAACATTCATACGGGGGACTGCACAGGCGTTTGAAGTTCTTGTGGATTGAATTTCTTCACCGTCTTCCCTCCCCACTCACTCCTGCATTCACTGAAGCCCCTTCAAGCCCCCTTTGGTCCTTCTGAGTGTTTGGCAGCTTTGAGTCTAGGTCGAAAAGATTCTTTCCTTCTCAGCAACCCTGAAAATAGGCCTGTATCTTTCCTGAAAATGCGTAGGGGAGGAGTGGGTGTCATCTTTAAGGCCGGTTTATGCAGCTTTGCCCCCTCCACCCAAAGGCAAATGCCCCCCCCCCCCCAAATTAATATACACTAATTTGCTCTCTTTAATTTTTATTTAAATCCATAACAAACATGACATATCACCTTTTAAGAGCTACAGCTAAGCTAGTACGCTAGGACCCCAGGGAAATGCAGCAGTAATTGATCACTATGACTATGTACATCTCACTTCAGACTGAGCGCCCCCTATGGATCAAATACTAACACTGCCCCTGCGGAAGAGTCAGGTGACTGTGTCAGTGAATTTGGACTTTTAGGAACAGACTAGAGGCTGGGATTCCTATGCCGGATCAGAGCTCAACCGCTCACACCCAGCCTCTGCCTCTGTAGATCCCTCTCACGTCAGAGATAAAAATGCCTTGTTACCCCTCAGTCCCCCATGTCACACAGATCTGTTCACTGTCTTTGAAGATGCAAGTTTGACACCCTGAATTTGTCCGATGTGGAGTAATTGGAGCTGTGCCGCAGAGGACAGAGCGAAGAACTGCAGCCCATTAACGCCACTGTGGTCACTCAGGAAACCGGGGATCATTATTTGTCTCGCGGTGGTTGTCAGGCCTTCTAAGCAGGTGCTGGAGCAAAAGCGAGATGCGTCATCCTGCCGAGGTATAAATTGTGTAGCGGCACAAACAGGTGCTGGAGGCAGGCAGCTGATTAATCAGCATGGCCGTAAAACAGATCCTGGATTTTTACTAAGCGGACAAATGCAGCGAAGTTTGCAAAATGATATATTTATTGCCGCTCGCATCGTAACGGAGGCAAGCAGATATAAATCTGAACAAAAACATCGGAGGAGCTTGTGCAAAGTCTGGCGGGAAGCGCACGCACGGGGTGTAATCTTCATACCCTTTCCGCTAATC